TTCATTCTTCTACTTTATCTTTCAGTTCGCCAAATTTGGCTCTACCACTACAAATCCTAAAATATGTAGTCATGTGAAATAAATTTGTGAAAGATATCATCAAAATATCCTTAGTTGAGGTTGCTGTAGGATGGTAAAACTGTTAGATGACTTTTAATATTTTAACAAGTGTCGCACCCGTATCATGGGAGAAAGGAAAATTAATAAATTTAAGAGTTGCCACCAAAATTTTAAAAGGATAATTTTTAAAATATTTTAAAAAATAAAATGGTTTATAATAATTAGAATAGGATTTGAGAGTTGATTATGCATGAGAAAGGTATTAGGCATCCCATATTATCTATTGGATTTAATTTCCCTTAATTAATAAAAAATAAAAAGAAAATGAGAAGAAAATTATAATAAAAAATTATTTATTTACAAGTTGGACTTGCCTTTCCTAAAGCATGCGTACCTTTTAGAAGAATTAAAATCCACATAGTTTAAGGGTAAAAATGCAAGATAATTTGTTAGTAACTTTTAGAAGAAATATTTTTTTTAAAAAGGTTTTTTAATTGGATTTATATCTTTTAATTTATCAAAAAAAGACTTATTCTCTTATTTGAGAAAGGATTTTTTTTTTGAAAAAAATTAGATTGGAATTTCTGCAGAGATTTCAAAAAATCTCACACAAAAATTAATTTATTTTATACCTACTAAAATCTGAAAATCTCACACAGAAATTATTTTTCAACTTATTTATTTATAAAAAAATCTTTTTTAAAAAAAATTTAAACAAATCAATTAAGCACCATGATTAATGTGTCTGTAATAGCCTGTTGCCACATATGAATGACATACCAATTGATGACATACTTGTAAAGATTTTAAAAATCTCACACGATAAAAGTAGAAGGAGGAGGAGGAGGAGGAAAGCTATGTCTAAAAAAAAAACACGCACATGAAATGAAAAGGGTGGGATGAATTAGATGGGTATCATGTAATCTTGAAAAAGTAACAAACCATGATAAGGCAAACATTTGGCAAAGAACTTGATGGGATGACTATAAACACTCTCAGGAAAAATAAAAATAATAAAAGCATCTAAACACCTGATGGACAACCCAATGGATGCCCCAACCAAATTTTTTATTTCCTTTTCTATCTTACATCCTCTTCATTTTCGTGTATTCCTCTCACCTTTTCTCTCTCCTTCCCGCCTCTTCCTCCCTTTTCTTTTACAGATGAAATTAGTGCTTGTATTTTTAATGGTTGAAACTCCGCCTATGTTTATAGCCGGTCCCAAGCCTGGGTAAAGGAGGAGGGTTGTGTTAGGCCATCAACAGCCAATGTAAAACTTTGTTGAATCTATCATGAACATGGACAATAGACGTTATAATGTTAATGCTAAGTCGTTGCCCGTAAGTAATGCGCTGCATGGCTCGAGTACAGTGATAAGTGAGTTAGAGCCGCTGCATCGGCACCCGGATGTAGTGTTAAATGAGCAAGGGCTACTGCGTCATTCTGGACGCACGCGGCTAAAGAAGTTAGTCCATGAGAGCAAAATTAGATTTGGTACTTAGAATGTTGAGACATTGAATTGTAAATCTGTAGAGGTTGTAGGGGTTATGATTCAAAGGAAAATCAATATCTTTTGCCTACAAGAAACAAAATGGCATGGAGAAGAAGCTAAGGATATTCAAGGTTTCAAACTTTGGTATACAGGAAAAGTAAGTGCACGCAATGGAGTAGGCATCATTATAGATAAGGAATGGAAGAAGAACGTTGTAGAAGTTAGCAGAATTGAAGACAGAATTATTTCCTTAAAAATGATAATTGGACGTGAGACTGTTAATATTGTTAGCACTTATGTGCCGCAAGCCGGGACAGAAGCCAGTCTTATGGAATTATTTTGGGAGGATCTGGAGGGGTTGATTCGAACACATACCACAGAGTGAAAAGATTTTTATTGGAGGAGACTTTAATGGGCATGTCGGGAGGGAAGCTGGTCGGTATGCGAGGATGCATGGTGGTTTTAGTTTTGGAGAGCTAAACAATAAAGGACAAACTCTTTTTGATTTCTCATTGGCGTATGATTTTAAGATTGCCAACACTTGTTTCAAGAAGAGAGATGAGCATCTCATCACTTACAAAAGTGGAGCCTTAAGGTCACAGATTGATTTTCTTTTGGTTAGGAACACAGATAGAAGACTTTGTAAAAATTACAAGGAGATCCCCGGAGATGCTGTAACGACACAACTTAGGGTCCTAGTCCTTGATGTGTGTATTATGAGTAAAATCTAAAAACGTCGACAAGTAGTAGCACTAAGGATTAGGTGGTGGCAATTAAAAGCTGAGAAGCAAGATATTTTCAAGCAAAATCTTTTGGATAAAGGAATTTGAGAATCTCAGGGAAATGCTAACATCATGTGGGAGGATATGGCTAAAAAAGATACGGGAGGTTGCAAAAGTAGTTTTGGAAGAATCAAAAGGTTCTGGTCCGAGAGATAAAGAGTCTTGGTGGTGGAATAATAGTATACAGGACAAAATCAAGTATAAGAAGAACTGTTTTAAAGCCATACATTTGTGTAACAATGAGAAAAACTGGGAGAGGTACCGTATGGTTAAGAAGGAAACTAAGAGAGCTGTGGGTGAAGCTCGTTCTAAAGCTTTTGAAGAATTTTATAAGAGCCTTAAGACGAAGGAAGGAGAGCGAAATATTTATAAGATTGCCAAGAGTAGGGAAAGAAAATTAAGAGATCTATAACAGGTCAGGTGTATTAAGGATGAAAAAGGAAGAACTTTAGTTACAGATGATAAAATTAAAAATAGATGGGAGACTTACTTTTCTAAACTTTTCAATGATGGAGAGGGTTCATCTAGTAACTTGGAGAATTTAGTAACTGGTGAAGGAGAACAAAATTTGTCATTCTATCGAATAATACGTGATAAGGAGGTAAAGGAAGCTCTTAAGAAAATGGCAAATGGTAGAGCCAACGGACCTCATTGTATATCTATCGAAGCGTGGAAATGTTTAGGTGAAGAAGGGGTGAGATAGTTAACTAAGTTATTTAATGTGATTTTACAGTCCAAGAAAATGCCTGATGAGTGGAGGAGAAGTACATTAATTTCTATTTATAAAAATAAAGGAGATATTCAGAATTGTATTAACTATAAAGGGATTAAACTCATGAGCCACATAATGAAATTGTGGGAGAAAGTAATTGAGCATAGGTTAAGATTGGAGACAAGTATTTCTGAGAATCAATTTGGTTTTATGCCAGGTAGATCAACTACAGAGGCGATTTATCTACTAAGGGGATTAATGGAAAAGTATCGTTGTAAAGATAAAAATCTACAAATAGTTTTTATTGATTTGAAAAAAGCTTATGACCGTATACCAAGAGAAGTGTTTTGAAAAGCGTTAGAAAAAAAAGGAGTACGGATTGCTTATATTAAAGCCATACAAGATATGTATGAGGGGGTAAAAACTAGTATAAGAACGCCTAGTGGTCAAACAAAGGATTTTCCTATAAAGATTGGACTACATCAGGGATCATCTCTGAGTCCTTATTTGTTCAACTTGATTTTAAATGTTTTGACGAAACATATTCAAGAGAAAATCCTGAAATTTATGCTCTTCGCGGATGATATAGTTCTTATAGCAGAGACAAGAAAAGAGATTAATTGCAAACTTAAGTTATGGAAGAGGACATTGGAGTCGAAAGGTTTTCGTTTGAGTAGAAGTAAGACGAAATATTTATATTGTAAATTTGGTAAAGGACTATTCGATAATAATTTGGAAGTGAAATCGGGAGATCAAATTATATCTCAAGTGGAAAAGTTTAGATATTTGGGAGCCATTATTCAAAATGATGGCAAAATAGTGGAGATATTTCACATAGAATTCAAGCTGGGTGTTTAATTGGAGAAAAGTTAAAGGAGTTATTTGCGACCGTAAGGTGCCTAATAAACTTAAAGGAAAGTTTTATCGCACTGCTATCAGACCGGCAATGTTTATATAGTAGTGAATGCTGGGCTCTAACAAGACAACAAGAGCATAAATTTGGAGTAGCAGAGATGAGAATGTTACGATGGATGTGCGGACATACACGTAAAGATAAAATTTGAAATGAGCACGTACGCGAAAAAGTGAGGGTGGCACCTATTGAGGAAAAAATGGTAGAAAATCAGTTGAGATGGTTTGGGCATGTACAAAGAAGACCAAGAGAGGCACCAGTGAGATGAGTGGAACATATAACTTTGAGTCCGATTAAGAGAGGTAGAGGAAGGCCTAAGAGAACACTCTTGGAAGTTATTGAACGCGATCTCTTAATTAATAATATTCCTAAAAGCTTGATAAATGATAGAGTACAATGACGTCTTGCAATCCATGTAGCCGACTCCACCTAGTGGGATAAAGGCTTGTTGTTGTTGTTGTTGTTGTTGTTGTATTTTTAATGGTTGAATCTCATCAAATTATAATTTAATTTTATTTAACTTTTATCATTTCTAATTAAGGCACAAATTTAATTTAGGAATTGAATTTTTATTTAATTTTAAAGCACAAATTAAAGATTTTATCGTTCAAGTTTTATTTATTAATTTCATTTTTATTATTTTAGTAAAAAAGACTTTTCAACTTTTTATTTATTCATTTATTTTTTTTGTGGGGCCCCGGATAAAATGGATGTTCACACCAAGGACGTTGGTTATTTTGGCACTCGGTTGGGAGCAAAAAACTAGGGATTGCCTTCTGACTCAAGCAACGAACGTGTACATCTGTGGTTGAATTTGTCGGCAGTGATTGGTGTTGACTCAGAGGAGGCCTTAAAGTTAATGTTGGAGCCTACAAAGCGCGTGATTAGTCAAAATGGATGAAACAGTAGCGTTGACATCAAGAAGCTAAGCTGCCTATATGTATCTGCCTGTTACTCTGTTTCTCCCTCACCATACACAGCACCTTCATTTCAATCCCTAAACTATGTAGTTTAGTTTGCATCTACAACACTGCCACTACAATGGATTTTCTTACCAAGTGCCTTGGGGGATCTGCTTCTGCTAAACAACCTTCCGCGACCATACAAGAGTTTTGCCAACGCTTCTCTCTTTCCCAACTTCGGCAAGCAACCGACAACTTCCACGAGAGCCAAATGATAGGTCAAGGAAGTTTGGTATGGTATACAGAGGTGTCATCTCTGTTGATGGTAAACCAAAAGAAATTGCAGTGAAGCGTAAATCTCACCTTATTTGGGCTCTCTGAAAGCTGGTGTCCCTCGTTGGGTTCTGCGACCAAAAAAATGAAATGATTATGGTCTATGAGTACATGCCTAACGCATCCCTCTACGATAAACTTCATAGAAGGGATAGCAACTCACCGTCACTCTCGTGGAAGAAAAGGCTAGAAATCAGCATAGGAGTGGCGCGTGTATTGCACTACCTCCATGTAGGAACCAAGCGCACCGTTATCCATCTTGCTATAAAATCAAGTAACATTCTTTTAGATGAGAATTGGATTCCCAAACTCACCGATTTCAGGCTCTCTTTAAAAGGACCAAAATATTCATCAAATGAAAAAGCCAAGGAGGTGAATATAATCAAAAGCACCTGTGGATACATAGCTCTTGAAGTATGCCTTGCAGGGTATGGTGTCAGATAAATGCGACGTCTATAATTTTGGAGTGATTTTGTTAGAACTAATATGCGGAAAAGGACAAAACTATATGATGGAGATTATTCATCTAGCGAAAAGCACGGATGAGGGAAGTGAGGACCAAAAGGGTGGGAATAAGGATGAGGATGAACCTTACTGGTCCTTGGAAAAAGCAGTAAGGAGATTGGTGGAAAAGGGAAGTCTAGAAAAGATTATTGACGCAAATATAGGAGGAGAAATAGCAACAGAGTGTTGCAAATTGTACATGGAAATTGTACTCAGTTGCATGAGTGAAGATCCTGACGAAAGGCCACACATGGGCCAAGTGGAGGTGGAACTGAGCTAGAACTACAGCATGAAGCAGATGCCAATCCCCACTTTCATTCTTTCTTCTATCTGTAACCTCCCTTTTGGTTGTCATTATTGCATTTCTTAAGAAAATAGCTTCTTTAATTTCTTAACCATGTATATTTGATACTTACCTTGTTAAAATTAATGAATCACCTTGGCAGATAAAGGCCTCAGAGAATATCTTCTTTATTAGCTTAACCATCGAGAATTCTTTCTTTGATAACAAACTTATCATTCTTCTGTTGTGAAGTATTGATATGCGTCCCAGAAATTGTTTTCGCATTCAAGGAATTAGATTTATATAAAAACATTCACATGGAAGAGAAAAACTATTTAATTATTTCGTGAGGCATAGCTTCTGTACTTTGAGGCCTGCATTAGGATTGAGAAAATTAACCTTCTAAAAAGAGTGTGTGTGGAAACAAGAGGAAAAGAGAGGTATAAGTTTGTCGTAGTGGCTCTAGTCTCAACCTTTTTAATTTGCATCATATCTGCTAATCTGCTTCTTAATAAAGATTCTTGGCTGGACAAGATTAACCCATCATCTTGGGCATAACGTGTATACATGAAGTCAAGGAAAATGGCCCAAGGACTGCAATTATGCTGGAAACCAAAAGAACAGAGTCCATCATGTGATATCCCTGGTGAGCTACAATCAATCAATAGTTGCCTGTGTAATTCACTCCTTGGATATTTAGAAAAACAAAAATGGTTTGAATTTGACATATAATTTTTATGGTCGTGGTAACGGTGCAAGAGGTAAAGAAATATGATTATCAGATACTACAAATCAAATTACCTCAGTGACGCTGTTAACGCAGGCTAAAATAATACAGTAATATTGACTTCGATAGACAAAAATCGGAACACTTACTTGTGCCAATACATCCAAATTCTTTTGCTCTATACTTGGGAACAGAAGAGTGATAAGTTTGTTGATAAAGAAAGAATTCTCGATGGTGAAGAAAGAAGATATATTTCTGAGGCCTTTTAATTTCATTAGTTATTGGTTAAGAAAGAAAATATTTTCTTAATATATGACATTGGAACTAACAACCGGAAATTATTCACAAATATCAGCGCAATAGTGATAATCAAAAGGAAAATTGCAGCTAGAAGAAAGCATGAAATCTGGGACTGGCACTTGCTTCATGCTGCAGTTCTAGCACACGCTCTAGTTCCACCTCCGGCCGCTTGGCCCCTATGTGGCCTCTTATTAGGATATTCACTGATGCAACTGAATGCAATGTCCATGTACAATTTCCAACACTTTGTAGCTATATTTGGATCTATAATCTTTTCTGCATTTCCCTTTTACACCCAAATCCTTACTTCTTCTGCCATGATTAACTACAATCTACAATAGGCGGGTTGAATAGTAATAGTGGGAGATTGGAGCTTCCTATAACCTGGGGATTGATGACCTCTATTCCTCAGCTCGGGGAGTAACACCCTAGATTAATATTTTAGAATACTTAATTAGATTAATTGTAATCATTTTAAATTCATTAGAGTCTCATGATCATGGAGTAGGGATTATAGGAGAATTTTTCGTGGAATTTAATTTCACTTGCTCCCAACTCATAAGACTAGTGTAATGTTTGAATAGCAGCAAAGAGTTCACGCTCTTTTTACACACACACACACCACACACACATATGTTAGCACAAAAAAGGACAGGAAAAGAAAAAGGATGTTACACGTTTGAATAACTGTAAACAAGTAAAACTTAATATTTGAAGAAGACAATTATTATATAGTGGGAGAGAATGATAGAGTTGGGATTGCAGAGAGATGAAAACAAAAGAAAATTAAATGTAGAAGAAAGCATGGAAACTATGATCCATCAGCATCTGCTTCCTGCTGCAGTTGCAATGCACGTTCAAGTTGGACTTCAACTTCACCCATATCTGACCTCTCATCAGGATCACCACTCAAGTCTGCAATATCCATGTACAATCTCCAAAACACTCTGTTCTATCTCTCCTGTCAAACTGGGGTCAAATATAATTTTCCCAATATTTCCCTTTTCCTCGAGATTCCTTACTCCTTTAGCTATATTTATGAGAGATGGCGAAGCATAGTCCTCAGAAATTATATTGTGAATAAGGATCGGCCGTACATTGCATATTAGTTCTAACAAAAGCATTCCAAAACCATAGACGTTGGAATTACTTGAGATCCTACATGTAATAAGTAACTCGGGGGCTGTGTGGTAAAGGTTGCGGCGGATTTGATGCACCTTCTTGGGTTTCTCCTTTGATGAATATTTTGGTCCTTTTAAAGAAAACTTAAAATTGGTGAGTTTGGGAATCCAATTCTAATCCAGCAGAATGCTACTTGAATTTAAATCATGATGGGTGATGCGTACGCCGGGCAACACTCATGCCATATCTGTGCATTGCTTCATCCATCCATTGAATTGCGTGTTTTCTAGACTCCTTCTAACACTTAAATTTACTTCATCACAGTCTTCATCATCATGAAGCTGCTCCTTCATCTTTGCATAACATCCAGATTATTTAAATTTACTTTAAATAGTTTAAATTTAAAATTTTATATTTATAAGTTTTTGAAATTGTTTTTTTAATTCTGTATCTATTAAAATAATTTTTTAAAAAAATAGAAAAACAGTAAAATATATATATATATATATATGTCTACTGTTGATTCATTAAAAATGTCCATTTCTAGTTATGTGTTTCATTTAAAAAAAAAAAAATTGAATACTTCCATCTCATGAAGGGAGAACATTTCTATAACTTTTGTGCTCTGAACGGGCATGGTGTGAGCATTTTTGATAGCAATGCTTGGCCTTATTTCTGCCTCATGGTAACTCAATCACAATGACGGATATGGGTGTTTGACACAATAGATCCACTAAAACTTCCTTGAAAGAGAAAGAGAGGAGGGAGAGAAGGAGAAGAGAGAGCACTCTTGTTCTCTCAACGTCAGTTTTCATAGAGGGTAAAAACTGAATGTAAGTGTAGTCATGCTCCATATCACGCATTGACAATGGGTAGTACTCCCTCCGGTAACCACCCGTACTATAATAAAAATAATTATTAATATAAATTAATTATTTAACTCAATTTGGGCTCCCTACTCACTTGACCCAATTTATCAAGGGTGCAGCCCAACAATTAGGATTCACAAAATTTATGAAAAACGTGACTTGATCATGTTGAAAACATGCATTTAAAATATTTTTTTTTTTTTTTTAACTTTTATTTTGTTTTGAATTAATATAATCCAACAAACTTTTCCTTTCTTCCATTTTAAAAACAAAATACAACTATTGATTCCTATGCTTTTAGGTGTTTTGGTACTAGACTTATAATTTTATTTTATTATTCCAAGTCCTTTAAATTTCATATGTTTGTAATGTTAATCCTTATAATCATAACCAAAGTTAAATCTGCTAATGCATATATAAATGTATTCAGTTTTGTTGGTGGGTTGGTAAAATTATGATGAGTTGAATATTATGTAAATAAAATGGCTATTAATCTTCCCGTCTATCTATCTTAGTTTTTTTTTTTTTTGTCTTTCTTTCTGAACCTTCATCCATTGGATGTTTATGGAATCTAATTTAATGTCTCGCTTGTTTTTTTTTCTTTCTGATGACTAATTTTACATACGGTACAGTGAGATCAAACATGCCGTCCCGTGCACATTGTCATTGCAATTCTTATATACATACTGGCTCATCAGAAGTATGAAGCTAATCTTCACTGTGCAGTTGGATCGCAACTACGACCCGACGTTACTGTTGATGGCAATCCTTCTCAAGTGCTTTGGCGGCTCTGCTTCTTCTTCTACGAACCAACCTCGCACAACTGTGGAAGATCTATGCCATCGCTTTTCTCTTGCCCAACTTCGAAAATCGACGGACGACTTTGACAAGAGCCGAAAAATCGGCGGAGGGGACTTCGGTGAAGCGTACAGGGGTTCCATCTCTATCAATGGCGAGCCCAAATATTGCGGTGAAGCGGCTCCGACTAGAATCACCCCATTCCTCGTATGGGCTCTCTCTGTACAAGAACGAAATCCTCTTCATGTGCCAGCTACACCACCCGAATCTAATGTCTCTTGTAGGTTTTTGCGATGACAAAAAAGAAATGATTTTGGTGTATGAGTACCTCCCAAACAGAACCCTCTATTATCAACTTTACGAACAGGATAGCACGTCATCACCAGTTGAGCCATGGAAGAAAAGGCTAGAAATCAGTATCGGGGTAGCGCGTGCGTTACACTATCTTCACTCGGGAACCAAACGCACCGTCATTCATCGCAGTGTAGAACCGGTAACATTCTTTTGGACGAGAATTTTGTTCCCAAAAATGGGCATTTTTGGGGCTTTCTTTGAAAGGACCAAAGTTTTCAGCAAAGGATGCAAAGCCCATACGGTTAGATGCCGTTGAAGGTGTGTGGGGATACATAGCTCCTGAGTGCTGGGCGCTTACTAATGTCACATATAAATGTGACGTCTATTCCTTTGGAGTGATTTTGTTGGAACTGATATGCGGAAAGACGTTGTGCCAAATTTGTGAGTATGAGGGCGTTTGAGTAAGAGTGAAGGTGCTACTTTATTTGCATGTAGTGTGCTCAAGAAAGTACGAAATTCAGGGGAGAATGGGAATAATGAGGAGGGAATTATTGATCCGAGATTTGAGGGAGAAATAGCGCCAGTGTTGGAGAGACTGTATATGGACATCATAGAGAGTTGCTTGAGCGCAGATCCGAACGAGATGCCAGACATGGGCCAAGTTGAAGTCGACCTTGAACGCATATTGCAACTGCAACAAGAAGCAGATCATGCAAACCCTGGTTTTCATGGTTTACTCATTTAATTTTCTTTTGTCATTGCAAAAATAGTTTTGGGAGAATTGAAAGGTTCTGGTCCGAGAGATAAGGAACTTGGTGGTGGAATAATAGTGTACAAGACAAAATCAAGTATAAGAAGAACTGTTTTAAAGCCATACTTTTGTATAACAATGAGGAAAATTGAGAAAAGTACCGTATAGCTAAGAAGGAAACTAAGAGAGCTGTGGGTGAAGTTCGTTCTAAAACTTTTGAAGAATTTTATAAGAACCTTGAGACGAAGGAAGGAGAGCAAAATATTTATAAGATTGCCAAGAGTAGGGAAAGAAAATCCAGAGATCTAGAACAGGTAAGGTGTATTAAGGATGAAGAGGGAAGAATTTTAGTTACAGATATGAAATTAAAAATAGATGGGAGACTTACTTTTCTAAACTTTTCAATGATGGAGAGGATTCATCTAGTAACTTTGGAGGATTTAGTAACTGGTGAAGGAGAACAAAATTTGTCATTCTATCGAATAATACGTGATAAGGAGTAAAGTAAGCTCTTAAGAAAATGGCAAATGGTAAAGCCAACGAACCTGATTGTATATCTATCAAAGCGTGGAAATGTTTAGGTGAAGAAGGGGTGAGATGGTTAACTAAGTTATTTAATGTGATTTTACGGTCCAAGAAAATGCCTGATGAGTGGAGGAGAAGTACATTAATTCCTATTTATAAAAATAAAGAGATATTCAGAATTGTACTAACTATAGAGGGATTAAACTCATGAGCCACACAATAAAATTGTGGGAGAAAGTAATTGAGCACAGGTTGAGATTGGAGACAAGTATTTCTGAGAATCAATTTGGTTTTATGCCAGGTAGATCAACTACAGAGACGATTTATCTACTAAGGGGATTAATGGAAAAGTATCATTGTAAAGATAAAGATCTACACATGGTTTTTATTGATTTGGAAAAAGCTTATGACCGTATACCAAGAGAAGTGCTTTGAAAAGCGTTGGAAAAAAAAGGGAGTACGGATTGCTTATATTAAAGCCATACAAGATATGTATGAGGGGGTAAAAACTAGTATAAGAACGCCTAGTGGTCAAACAAAGGATTTTTCTATAAAGATTGGACTACATCAGGGATCATCTCTGAGTCCTTATTTGTTCAACTTGATTTTAAATGTTTTGACGGAACATATTCAAGAGGAAATCCCGAAATTTATGCTCTTCCCGGATGATATAGTTCTTATAGCAGAGACAAGAGAAGATGTTAATTGCAAACTTAAGTTATGGAGGAGGACATTGGAGTCAAAAGGTTTTCGTCTGAGTAGAAGTAAGACGGAATATTTATATTGTAAATTTGGTAAAGGACTATTCGATAATAATTTGGAAGTGAAATCGGAGATCAAATTATACCTCAAGTGAAAAGTTTAGATATTTGGGAGCCATTATTCAAAATGATGGCGAAATCAGTGGAGATATTTCACATAGAATTCAAGCTGGGTGGTTTAATTGGAGAAAAGTTAAAGGAGTTATTTGCGACCGTAAGGTGCCTAATAAACTTAAAGGAAAGTTTTATCGCACTGCTATCAGACCGGCAATGTTATATAGTAGTGAATGCTGGGCTCTAACGGGACAGCAAGAACATAAAGTTGGAAATGTTACAATGGATGTGCGGACATACACATAAAGATAAAATTCGAAATGAGCACGTACGCAAAAAGTGAGGGTGGCACCTATTGAGGAAAAAATGGTAGAAAATCGGTTGAGATGGTTTGGACATGTACAAAGAAGATCAAAGGGAGGCACCAGTGAGAAGAGTGGAACATATAACTTTGAGTCCGATTAAGAGAGGTAGAGGAAGGCCTAAGAGAACACTCTTGGAAGTTGTTGAGCGCGATCTCTTAATTAATAATATTCCTAAAAACTTGATAAATGATAGAGCACAATGACATCTTGCAATCCATGTAGCCGACCCCACCTAGTGGGATAAAGGCTTGTTGTTGTTGTTGTTGTTGTTTATCTTTCGGAGTCTGATATTGGCACGGTCAGCTTCATAACATGAGATTCCAGTATTATCTGTTTGACTGGAATCTAATATTATGAAGCAATCATGCAAAAGATAGACGTCTTAGTGCCTCGTGAATGTTGGTGTCCTAGATAGTGAAGTCATATGAGCAACAAGTAATTTAAACTTTCTTAAAGCTTTTGAAATTGGTATTGTTTCCAATTGAAATTGAAGATTGGCAGATACATAGCCCGAGTGCTGGGGACGTACTAATATCACATATAAATGTGAAGGGGTTAATAATGAGAACCCTGTCATGTACGCATAGCGTGCCTAAGAAAGTACGAAATTTGGCAGAAAATGGGAGTGCTCTAGGAATTATTGATTCCAGTTTAGCGGGAGAAGTAGCACCTAAGCGTTGGCAGTTGTATATGGACATTACTCGCAGTTGTTTGAGTGAAGATCCCAATCAAGGGCCAGATATGGGTGAAGTTGAAGTCCAACTAGAACGCGCACTAAAACTGTAGGAGTATGCGGATGCCAACCATAGTTTTCATGCTTTCTTCTTCATTTAATTTTCTTTCTGGTTTCCAAAATTCCATCTTACGCTATGACTAGACAAGATGATTGTCTATCTATATTAAATAAAAAATTGCTTACAGCAGTTTAATATTTTTTTCACAAAAAACTACCATGGTTGAGCAATAACATATCAAATTACAGTGGAAACAGAGTGCAAGTAGATTTTCTTGTACCATACTCGATTTCCTCCTATAACACACTTGGGGCAAATTAAATTTCTGCTGAAAGACCTTCCTAGCTTCTTCCTTCCCAGAAATAGTGATATATAGCATCAGGCATCAGACCTTACTCTGTTTTTCACCATTATAAACACTTCCTCCTTCATCCTGCACAGTTTGGATTCAACATTTCTCCCCCTTCCATATCTTAGGATATCAGCTAATTCTACTCCATATACGTATCCTAGCAGAAGGAACAGGATTAATCACGCAACTCAATACTTTTAAGATAATGAGAAAATGCAAATCAACATTAGTGATACTGACAAATAATAATTCCTCAAGTTTTCACTACTACAAAATTCTCGTTATAAGATACCATTAAAAATTATGGTTGCAAGAAACTTTGTCATTAATAATTACGAGTGTTGAAAAAGATTTTTATTTGAAACGAAAACAAAAACACCATGGATCACAATGGAATCAAATGCAAGCAGACTTTATTTTAGCTCGCTCTATTTACTTCTGCAATACATGAGGCCAAATCCTCTGAAAGACCTTCCTCATTCCTTCACAGAAACAGTGCTCTAACATCAGGCATCAAATCTCTATTATACGCTATTCCTCCTTGATCCTACACAACTTGGTCTATACATACCTCCTCTTCCCTGTATGAGTGTGTATGCATAGACTAATCCTCTTTCTATTCATATACTACCAGAAATAACAAGATTTGTGCAATTTAAGACTTATGAGATAATGAGAACATGTAAATCAACATGACTGGTACCGAACAACTATGAGCTATTACACAAGCCAATCTGTCACCCAGGTACAGAGGCATCCGCATATTTGATATACAAGACACTACATCGTTCACAGTAACAACTGATAACCTTTAATTCATAATTCATGCAAAAATTGTTAGTGACACCCACAATTCTTCAGGTGAAACACCAGCATTGCTTAAGAAAAGCAGCAGCGCGTGGTATCAGTTTTAGATGATATCATAATGGTAGGTTTCAGCTGCTGCAGAAACAGAAATTTACTTGGGAGCATACCAGCGTGATGTTTAACCATACTTCATGGAAGGACTGGTAGCGAATCTGCCCCAAGAAAAATTCATAGTTTGTTAAGTTGTTAAACTTCAGATCACAGCTTTTACTGCATATAGAATAAATATTTTCTACTCTTTAATTAATACAAGTTATTTGCTGGTCACAGAAAGCAGTTCCCTTCTCTAGGTTGTCGTGCAGCAAAAAATGAAAGATTATCAATAATAGAAGACGACCTAACATGCAATCTGGGATAACATCCCAACATCAACAAACTATCTATTTATACTGCAGGTTTTTACGAGACTGTGAACTGCTATTGCCAAGTCTAACTACAATTAGAAATTGAACAGCCTTAAAGTTCAAGCAATAGTTAGAGTAAAATGGCCCAATGTCCATGAAAAATATATTAACCAGAAATTATGGAAGAAATTTTTGATAAATTTGGAATGTAGCCCATTTACAATCAGTTGGGGTGCGATTTTCTCTTTTTATCCCTAAAACAAATAAAAATAAAAAACTTTTGTAATAGAATAGCAAACTTCTTGTAACTGAACGATCATAATTGTGGCCCATTTACAACCATATATCACTTCAATATTTAAACACTTTTGAATACTTCACCATTAGCTTAGAGGGCATAATATATTTCAAATTTGAGAAGGGGTTTTTTTGTTATTTCAATTTACTCCCTCCATCAAAAAATGTAAGGCATTTTTTAAAAAATTGAATGTTCAAAAATATAAGGCATTTTTTGTCTTTCAAGATGTAATTATTGCCTTTTTTTTCAAAAATGACCCAATTGATAATGGCTTTATATTTATTGTAGGATGTCTAATAGGGGTAAATATGAAAAGATAGGATTAGTTTGAAAGTAGGTAACTACTTTATTGAGGGGTGAGATATGGTTAAAAATGCTTTACATTTTTTAATGGAGAGAATAAATATTAATTCAACCACATTGCAAAATATTTAAAATGTTAGGCCATTATCTTTGTTTGATCTTATCAAAGGGACTATATGTGCAAAAGTCCCCAATAGTTATGAAATGCCTACATCTTGAAACTAGAGGTATATGTTTTGAAAAATGAAAAAACAAAAAAGTCTCTACTATGAAGATTAGTAATGTAGAATTTGATGTTGTCTTGGTTGAGAAACTTATGGATTATTTAAAGTAAGTCTAATAGGTTACATGGTTAGGATTTTTACAATTTTCTAGGAGTCTGTTATTTATCTTTTATCATCATCAGCCACCAGCCACTACATGAGTCTGCACGCATGTCTTCTCATTCATTACATCCAGTTTTAACCCTTAATTTCAGCAATATTAAGTCAATAGTTCATGCTAGTGCCAATATCTAATATCAAGATTTTCATTACAAACTTAACACGTTTCATCCATAACCACAGCACCCAGTGGATGAATAGCTAATATAGTTCACAAAACTAATAACTTATCCGATACACACAGAATACAAAAAGTCCTGACAGTAAAAAGGCTTGAAAGCAGACAAATCATTTTTCATCTTTCCTGAATAGACATGTAAGTTTTGTATTTATTCAAATTATTTAGATCCTCCATCTTCTTTGCCATAAATTGCCAAAACATAATCTTGATTTCATAGTATATAAAATACCCCAAGCATATAGTACCTAATCTTCTATGAATCAGAACTTGAACACAGTAACAATAGCCGCACAAATCATAATAATTCAGATCTAAATGTTCAGAATTGCAGGCTTTAGATGTGAAAATAATACATCCAAACTCAAGGTCAAGTTTTGAAAGATTCAATTATTGGCATAAATAACTTATGGGCATCAATAAACAAAAAGACCCAATACAGGATATATCTATATTTTCCACTTAAGTCACTCCGACTAAGTGAAATTAGAGTCCTCCTACAGTCCAACCATGAACCGCACAACGCTGTTGGGAAGACTCAGCCATGATGATGACAATTGGCAAACCATTTAATGTTGTGGCCGAATTCCCAACTAACTACCAGGATACAGAAAAGAGATCTTTTCAGGGCTGTTTGAATCAGCTTATGTCAAAAAGATCTGTACTTTTTGCAGACGTCTCAGATGAGAGATCATATAAAAAATAAAAAGAGTTGCTGAAGATATAGAAGACTTTATGTCCTAGTGGCTTTTTATGCTGAGAAACATTCCACTTAAGTAAGCACTGTACATTGAGCATGACTCTGAAAAATGTTCAATAAAAGAAGGGAAGAAAACTTGTACATTTCTCTAAGAGAACTGCCAACTAAAAACAATAGCAAACACTTTATGCCCTTAATTTTTCATTTCTTTTAAAAGAAATTAGAAGAGAAAAATGAAAAACAGGCCAAAACTCATGGTATTTTTGGCTACAGGCTAGTACCTGAGAATCAAGCAGATATTACTCCAACTCAGACGTCTCTTCCGAATCAGACAATGGCAAGAGGGTGCAGATACCAAGCACGTGTCCATTAAGACACACATAATACTCAATGCAATCTTCATAGGCACCCAACCTGCAGCTAGCACTTTGAGGAATCATCTTGGCCTGCAGCATGCTCCACAACTTTGCCTTACAATAAGGGCAAACTTCTGTTGGATGGAGCTTGGCACCTTTTTTTATAAGCATCTTCCTGACCTTTGAAGTAGAGAATGACTTAAAAATTCCGCGGAAGAATCCTATATCCCCATCTTCACCTTGGTCAAGATGCTCACAAGGATCAGATACATATAAAACATCAGTTCTGCATTGTGGCAAAAGAAAGCTCTTGCCTGATGTTCTAGAAAATCGAGTCCGATAAACAAAGTGACCAGGGATATGAATGCTATTGAACAAACCACCTTTGTTGCATCCTGAACAGTAGATTAGCAGCTTCCCTAGAGCCCTCCAGTTTCCATCAACACTGTGGCTTCCACTAGATTGTAGATCAAGCATCATCTTTGGTGCTCTGGTTCGGCAAAACTCCTTCCATAATAATCGCTTAGCAAGATCATCAAACCACTTGCATACACATGACAGAGCGGCAATTAACTTGGGATTCCAATTTAGTTGTTGGAATACCAAGAATATCACATCTTCACTTAAATGCCCCTTGGTGCATTGACAGCTAGCGGAGTGTACGCAACGGTATTGCTTTGTAAGAATCATTTTAGTCACCTGGTAAAACCGTGTGGAACAAAATCATTAATCGTTTCCATACCTTTGAATGCCAGTATATAGCATTAGATTGTCCATATTAGTCAGGAAACAACGAGAAGACCAGGTGACAGAAATACTATTTCATCCAAATAATAGCTTATAATGGAGGTGATGATTCAATTTCATGGATTCTATTAAACCAGCAAGACACGTGTGAAGTTAATACAACATAATTCAAGATGAAGAAATAGAAATATTTCTAATTTCTTCTTTTCCGAAATTCTGGATATGCGTTGAATTTCTGTTTATTGTTGCTTCAGTTACTCAATAGTCTTTTTTATTTAGATCACAATAGCCAACTAGTTCTAATGTCTGACAATCTATTAAGTACCACATCTCTTTTCATATTCAAAAGGCTTCAATCTTATGTAGATGCTAGTATCAAACTTTTAGCAGGAATTAAAAAAAAGATGGAGAGATGCAGATGCATTTAAACATAATATATGTAACCAAGGCTAAATTTAATTGCTTCAAATTTCACGCATCTACGAATTCTGATTACCCCAAAATCCCCTGCTCAACCGTAAAGTGGTAACCTTTGAATCCACTAACAGCTTTAATATAAAGGACATTTTTACATATATTAAAGAAAGCACGTCAATCAAACCAATTGCAAATAACAAGGTTTACTTCCTCTACCACATTCTCTTAATGCATGTTGACCACTTCCAAAAGTCCAGGTGTACAAGTTCCTCTAGGTAAAATTATGAGACATTCCCATGAATTGCCCGGTAAGTTAGCGCCATTCGTCAATACAGAGTGTATCCGAATTGGCCTTTCTAGATTTCACAGAATCGGGAGCTAAAACGAAGAATTTACGAGAACCCTCGACACAGACGAAGAAATTCAAAGAAAACAGAAGCAACGCGAAACTGAAAGTAGACTGGATCACGGAGGAAGCCAAATCAGAAAACCCGATTGTACCTCAACTCAGCTTACGGAACCCAGTTTCGGCATAGCCTCCAAACTCTAGAAAACCCGATTCTGCATGTAATTGAAAATCACCGTTAAGGATTGGCCAAACAAAAGAGAAGGCCAGATTAATAAAACAGAAAATATAAAAATCGATGAAGACAGAGAAAAAAGCAACTTGCTCACAAGCACCCATCTGTAATTTCAACTATCTAGAGGAGCAATTCGATCCAGAACAGCAAACAATGCACTCGGAACAGCACCGGCAGGGAATGCAGAAGGAGAAGAGGACAGTGCGAGAGAGAGAGATGGTAGGCTAGGCTCGGGGTTCCATCAATCCATCGCAGAAGCAAGGGAAAGTATTTTAGACAAATAACATAACGACACGTATGATGTAAGCTGACGTTGGTCTAGCTGGCAGAGCTGAGGACGCTCAGTGGGCCCGCATTTTCAGACGTGGCATTCGAAGAACGGAAGGTCATTTTGGTAAATTGAGTGATTACAAGCAGCCTCTCAAATAATATCCTGTTTGGACCCCAAAGGAGGATCATCAGGGGGCCTGTACTTTGCTCCAAGTGATTCTTTTCGCCCCTTGGAGTGCCACGTGTCAGGCTGACAAATTTTGTGGTGTCATTTTCATGGCTCTTTTTTGGTGAAATTCTTCGGCTTCAAAAATCGTTTTTATTTGTGTCCACGACTCTCCTATTCCGCAACTTGCTGCCTTCTTCTCTACAGCTTGTTTGATCGTTGAACCAAATTGTTGCTTTATTTGTTGTCCATTCTTCTTGACTTATTCGGGCCAGTCAAGTTACTAATTGAAAGAATCACTTTTAAGAGCTAATAATATTTAGATATCTGATAAATTTTTTAAGAAATACTATAAATTATAAATATTAATTTAAATAATTATAAATTTAAAAGATATAATTACAAATAAGATATTTAGATTATACTCTCTCTCTGTTCAATAGTATAAGGAATTTTTAACACAATTGTACTCTCAATAAATTAATTAATGGTCTTAAAAATTATATTTTCTTTTCATATTTATCCCTTCTAAATAGAGTATCTCAATTAAATAATCTTATTAATTACATCATATTAAATATATTCTTAAAAAAATTTCATTAATTATACTTTAAAATGTCTAAATATTTTATATTTTTTAATATCATTCCTCAAAAAAATTTCCCTTTTTTTTAATGAAGGAGTAAATGTAACTTTCAGTTTACAATTGAGATATCTCCCAGCAACTATTTCAATCAATATTAATATTTATAATTTATTTTTAAAAATTTTTATTAAAGACTCAATTGTCATTAATTCTCTCTTTAAGTTTTTTTCATCATTATCCATTATTAATTTGATTTTAGCTTTAATCAAATGGCTTATCGGATAAGATATAACTTTCTGAAAAAAAAATTGTAAAAGTTGCTAACCCATGTTAAAAATGTTCAAATCTTACCCAAGAGGGAAAACTAATTTTAATTATATTTGTTTATATTTATTTTTATCTTTTCACTCTTATTAAATATTAAAAAAATTAAAAATAATTCTTTTTTAATTATTAGAGGTAGGGTAAAAATATAATAAACTTTAAAATAGAATTAATAAAATTTAAAGTTTTAAAATTCTGATAAAATATATTGAAAGTAATTTATAAATAAAATTAATGGGATAATCCAAAAGAGAAATTTTTACTTTTACACGACAGTACCTGATTTCAACTTACATGAGTTGGAGCGTGAAAAATTATTTTTAAGCGAAACATTAAATTCAAAAAATTAAATAAAATATTAAAATGAGATAATTAATTCATGATACCATTGATTAACAGGACTTGATGAATGAACAAGGTGATGTCACATTGTCACCATAATAATATATCAATTTTTTGAAGTTTCTATAGCAATACCTTACTTTTTTTACGTGCAGAAAAATTATATTTCCTTCGATTAAAAATATAAAATATTTTTTAAAGAGTTAATTATTTAAAAATGTAAGATATTTTTAACCTTTTAAAATATAATTATTATCTTTTTTTAAAAAATATCCCCATTAATAATGACTTTATATTTATTGTAAGATATTTAATAAGGGTAAATATAAAAAAATAGGATTAATTAAAAAGTAGGTAACTACTTTATTAAGGAGTAAAATTTAATTAAAAATACCTTATATTTTTTAACGGAGAGAGTATAATTTAAGAGAAACAAGAGCTAGCTTGGATAGAACCACAAAAGTATCTCCATCAACAATATATGATAGGTTAAAAGATAATTTTATCTTTAAATTGTAAGTAATGTTTGAAATTTTAAATTTATTTTTTATATAATATTTTCTTTTAATTTTTAAAAATTTTTAATATCGCATTTATCATTAAAAAAATTAACTTTAACTATTAATTGATTAAAAATTTATAAAAAATAATTTCAAAAATTAAAAAAGTCCAAAAAATAAAAAAAATAATCCAAAAATGACAGAAAACAATTCCAAAAAATACAGAAAATGATTAAGAAAATTTTCTTAGTCATTTTTTATAATTTTTTGTCAACCAATGATTATAATTATTTTTCATTAACTGTAAGGGCAATGTTACATCATTTTAAAATGATAAAGGAGAACATTACAGTTAAGTCGAATTTAGGATCCTAACCTTCCTGAATTCATAATTCGCATGTCAATTTGCCATCTAACCCAATATTATCTTATATATTTTATTTCGAGTCGAGGACTGTGAATAAAAACAACGACATGCTTTGTCGGACTGCATAGAATAACAAAATCGGAATTCAGGTAGAGGTACGAAGAAAATATCCTTCTCTTTGGGGACAATGTTACAAGACATCGAATGCAAATCATAAGAGAAGAAACTAGAAACCTCCACGTCAAAGATTTTAGGATAAGTAGATTTTATACCTGATCCACGAGAATATTAATTTATATTGTTTAAGAGAAATGAAAGAGAAGAGTGAAAGTTAAATTTTATTAATTTTTTTAAAAATACATAAAAAAACAACTATCGTTTTTATTTCTTGAATAACTTCTATTAATTATATTTTTTATTCCCAGTATAATATTTAAATTTTTCTATTTATTAGAATATATAAATATAAATAATAATTTGTTTTATTTTCCGATAATATAACAAAAAATATTAGTAACATTTTCTTTTAAAAATATAAAATATTTTTAATTAAATCTTACCCCGTAATAAAGTAATTAATTATCTTTAAATTAATGCTATATTTTCATATTTATCTTTATTTAATAAAATATTTTTATTTTAAAATAAATATAAAATAATTTATTTATTATAAATATTTTAAAAAATATATATATTAGTTACACCTCGAAATAATAAAAAAGTTTTACATTTTTTAAACATTCAACTTTTAATCCCTTAAAAAATATTTTATATTTTTAAATAGAGGTGTATAATTTAAATTTTAAAAAGCTAAAACATAAAATTTAATTTTAATTTTAATTTATGTTACTAAAAATTATTTTTTAAAAAAATTTAATTTTAAAAATAAAAAACACATTTGCATCGGAACTACAGTGCCAATCCAACGCAAGTTGAGGGAGACACTATAATTCTATGCTTCTTTTTAATTCAAGGCCCGAAAAATCGTGCAGGAAAAAAAAGCAGGAAAATCTTTTTAAAATATACAAATAACAATGAAGTTTCATGAAATATCATGATTTTTCTTAAATTTTAAAAGACTTTTTTAACATTAATAATTCTTGATGACCGACTAAAATATCCTTAATTTAAACTAAATTAGTAATTTCTTATTTTGTTTTAGTCATTATTAAAAAAAAGTATTTATTGCTTAGACTAAATAATCAAGAATTTTCACAATACTTGAATTTTAATAAATAAAAAACTTGCACCAAAGAAGTTGTAATTGGTTTTTCTGTTTTAGTAATTGTCAAAAAAAAAGTACTTATTATTTAAATTAAAGTGATCACAGATATTTATAATACTTAAACTTTTACAAATAAAAATTTTACACAAGGAAAATTATAATTTCTTATTTTATTTTAGTTATTACCAAAAAAATAGTCTTGACTTAAATTAAAGCTAGCAGTGAGGAATATTTATAACACTTGAATTTTAGTGAATAAAAAATTTACACAAGGAAAATTATAATTGCTTATTCAATTCTAATCATTATCAAAAAAAAAAGTTGTCATTATTTAAATTAAAAAATCACTGATGTTTACTTTTTTTAGGCTAAAGTTGTTACTTTTATTTTAAATTGAAGGTATTTTAGTTACTTTATCAAAAATCATTAATGTTATAAAAGTCTTCAGAGATTTTAAAAGAATTGTGACATTTGACAAGATATCATTATCATTTGTATATTTTAAAAAAAATTCTTTAATTTTTCCAAAACAGTTGGTCTATGTCAAAAAAAAAAAATGAAGTTCCTACATCTTAAGGATAGATATACAAAATTCATAGTGTCTAAATTGTCATTTAATGTATGGTAAAAAAAGAAAAACTGTCATGTAATGTATGGTGAGCAAGTAAATTCACGCATATATTCACTCCTCTAAAAATATGATTGGAAGTTGCAATCTAGCTCTCATAACTAAATCCTTGATCTTATTTATAGTATTTGAGATAAGATTGTTTTAACTGTAGTCATGTTGAATCAATATAAAAATTTCAATTAGGTTAGAGTAAATGTTGATTTTAGAAACTGTCATTCTAATAAAAGTTAAGGTCTTCTAAGATACTCACGAGTTATGGAGTAATGCTAAAATAGTAACAAAGTGTCTACAAAAATTGTTAATCCAATTTTTCTTATCATCAAGAACAAAACCTCTGTCACTATAAGTGACAGTTGTTGATATCACTGGAGCTATCGATGCTAGTGGACACCACTTTACTTGAAAAAATGTAATTATTTTCTATTTCATTTTTAATTAGTATCTCAATCAAAGTAATCATTCCCCAACATATAAAAGTCTTAAAGCAAATATATAATATCATCAAAAATTAAAATGTCTGACAATTTTCATAAGACTAAATAATAATTATCATATTTTATACTGCTTAATTATCATTCACATATTGTAAGGATATTATTATCATTTTTTTAAATTAAAATTTAAAAATTAAATTGATAATTAAGACAAATTTAAAATATTTAAAATTTCATTATTTTTGATTTAAAATAAAGAGAAAAGGAAAGAGCTACTATGGTTTCATAAAGAAAAGATGATAACTCTTGTAGCTGTAGACTCGACTGTCCTCAAGGGTTTTTTTTAACAAAAAAAAATTCCCAGACAACGTATGGATGGATTTTGAAAATAGAATCACTCTTTCATTCCCAAAAAAAAAAAAAAACGGAAAAACGAAAATCGCATTATGTGTGGATTTTAAAAACGAAGTATATGACGTTTTCATGTTTCAAAACGAACACAACGTGACTGTCAGCTCTATCCAAAGCTCCTAAGAAAAACTCAAGGCAATCATTTTTCTATCCACAAGCTTAGATTTATTTTTCTACCAGTTCTTTACAAAAACAAATGCAGAAAAACCAGAAATGGGATCCCCAGATGATCAAATGCCAGTGCTTGCAGAAAGCTTTTTCTCTTGGAGAGAGATGACGGTTTCAAAGGCACCCACCAATGCCTTGACCTTGCTCTTCCTAGTTTCAGCCAATTTACTTGCTGTTTCTTCAATCACATTATTAAACAATCCTTGCTCATCTTTCTTTCCCTGCACATCTTGGTGTCTCAAAACCACCTTCCCAGAACCAGTTGTAGCATCATTGCTTTCACCAACATCTCCATCTCTTCTTTTATAACATTTTCTTTGGGCGTCACCTTTCCTATTTTCAGTCTCCCCCAACACTCTTCCTCTCCTAAATTTAAGCCTGCTCGGACTTGATCTCTCGGATTTAATTTCCACCCATTTTCCCTTTATACACTTCAATTTCGTTATCTGAGAGCCGTCTTTGTATTCAAGATTTACAGCCCCTTCTTTATCGGGCTTGCCGTTCTGATCCACTTCCAAATCATCTACATTTTCTATGTGCTCCTTTTCATCCTTTACTGAAACTGAATCCTCCTCAACTTCACTAGTCGTATATTCAGACTCCTCGTGGTCATCTTGGGATGAGGATTGAGAAGATGACGAGCGTGAAAACTTGGGCGATGACACCAACTGAGGGAGGGATGATTCAGCATCATGACTTGCATTTTGATTAGATTGCCAAATTTTTTCTTCTCCAGCCATCTTGATGACATTCAGACTCTTCTCCTCAACCTCAACATCACAATGTTGCTCAGGTCTGTCTTTTCTGGTCTTCTCCTCAACTTCAATATCACTATGTTGCTCGGGTCTGTCTTTTCTGGTCTTCTCCTCAGCCTCAACATCACTGTGTTGCTTGGTGTTGTTTTTTCTAGTCTTCTGCTCAACCTCGACATCACTGTGTTGCTTGGGGTTGTTTTTTCTAGTCTTCTGCTCAACCTCAACGTAAATGTGCTGATTAGGGTTGTCTTTTCCTTTTTCAGAATGATCCTTAAGATGAGGCACAATTTTCAGGCTCTTGTGCTTTCTTGTATTAATACTTGCAACTCTATGAAAAGAAGCTTTGAGGGACAACGAAGTTCTTGAAGGTGTAATCGATTTTCTTGTAGCTACTTTGGAGGCGGCTACTCTCTTTTCCATCCTGGGCTCACTATTTCTTTGGCCACTGAAACCTTCAGAGGGATTCTTAGAAAGCATTGTCTTCCCTGTAACAGAGTTTGGCTTCAAAGACAACTTCATTTCCTTAGCTTTGAGAGCATTAGTTGATTTTGGTGAAGTTTCCACTTTCTTTGACGCTGATGACATTTCTTTTGTCCTGGTTTTGGAAAGATCAGATGTATGAGATTTCGGACTGCTTAATGGTTTGACCTTGACCAATGCTGCCTTCTTGTTTCCTGAAACTTCAGTCTCTACTCGTTTTGAGTTTTCAATAGATTTTGTTAGCATTTCGTGCTTGTGCTCGTGGATGCCAAGTGTCTCACAAATTTGGAGTGCAGAGTCAACAGATGCTGTGAGCTTGACTGAAGATATCTTCTTTGTTGACTTGGAACTAGTTGATGCTCTGAGCTCATCCACTAATATCTTCGTCCCACCTACCCTCTTTTCTGATCGTTGATGAACTGGTTTTCTTGCAACTCTCTCCAGTAGAGATCGATTTTCATTAGCTTCAAATGCATGCTTCCCCCCATATTTGCAAAAATCATGACATGAACCAGTAGAAGCTCTGAGATAACGAGGAAGAACATTTTCTTCATTATTTTCAGAACTTGCTTTTCCAGTGGAGTGCCTTCTCAATTCAATCCCACTTGTCTTAGTTATTTCTGGGGTCATCGGTGAAGATTCACTGTTGTCAGCCATAAAATGAGAGATGAGATATGCAGAGCAGGACTCTGGACAAATAGACAATCCTGAAATAAGAAGAGAGCAATAATTTTAAATGAAGCAAAAATACAAAGTCTCATTTAAACTTACAGTAGTATTAGACAGGTTAGAGCAAAACAATTAATCTTCTCAATGTTGGGATGGAAATAAATGCAAATATGAGACATTCACACATACTTTTTTATTAGAACCCTGGCCCTGGCAATAATGACGATGACAATTCACAATCTTTAGAAGCAGAACGTGGCAAGAAAAATGTTTAATGAACTTCTCTCAATCAGGGAAAGAAATTTTAAAAAACATTAAAAATGATTTCATGCTCTCTTCTGATGTGAATCTCAGAGTTGATGTCTTCAACTGGAAATTTTAAAGCATCTTGACTGCAATGCCAAGGCAACAACTATAAGAAAGGCCTAGGCCATCAATCATACAAAATAAGAAAGCATCAAATCTGCCTGCCTGTTCTTACTTGTTTTGCACATTCTTTTTTCCCCTTATAACTGTTTTACATATCATTCTTTTCCAATCAATCAAAATTGATAAAATCTCTTGGTTGTTACGAAAAATAAGATACCTGAAAGATTGCAAAGTAACTTTAGTGAAAGAGGAACTAGTCGTAAAGCCTTAAGGAAAGAAAAAGACGTAAATCAAAGGACAAAGCATGCATCCTGATTAAGAGAAATCTCTAGTTTCCCAAACATTCTCAGTAAACAGCATTCTAATGTCTTGCGAACCATGAATCACCTACTATTATATGCACCATAATCGCCCTCAGACATTTCCAATCTTTAAATGTCCCTAATACATAAAGGTAATTATCAAATACAACAACCAGGTAACCTATCAGAGGCGAAGAAAAGTGACAAATTAGATTTGGAATATGGGAAGAAAAAGCAGGACTCTTTGGTTATTGCAAACTAAATTCATGGTTTTATCCGAATGAAACCGAGATGTACAAAACCTTCGTTCTTCGTTATAGTAGAGTCACCGAAGAAAACTCATACGACAAAAGGATGAACTGAAAATTACCAGTTATCGATCATTCAGCAAAAGGCCACATCACAAACCCCTCGCAAGCGTAATGGTTAAGCTACCTTCACCGACCACTGTATACAATCATGTTGGAAGACATTTCGATATATGAACCAAAAGCAAACAAACCCAATTAAAACCAAACTAACACAAGAGAAATAGAACTCGGAGAGAGTCCTGAAAACCAATCTCAATTGCTAAAATCATAATTTTCCGCAAACCCATTTGGGCAGGGGAAAAAGAAATGGAACACAGATAAAGATCTCAGTAAAAGCAAGAAAGAAGAAAAAGCTTTTGGGATTTCATCTTGCTGGGCAACACGTACAAATAGCATACCTTTACTTACATACGATTCCGAGCTCTGGAAAAAGCTGCTTAGCCAGAAAGCGAAGAAAAAGCAACGGAATCACACGCCGGCTCGATGAGACTTGCAGAGAGAGAGACCACTCTGTTTTACTCTTTATATATCTGAAAGAGATTTGCCGCTAGAGAACGTGCAAGCAATTCCGGTGTGCTTGGCTCTTCGCGTTGGTTTCAGAATCCAAAGTGAGAGATGATGGAGGGGGCGCAAATGCGTAAAGCGTGAGGCTTGAGCATTCAGTTCCGGGTCCCACTGAAAAACTGACCAAGGAATTCTGAATTTATATTTGAATGAAAAACAAAAAAAAAAAAAAAGCCCAAAAGGTAAAATTGAGTAACTTTCTAATGTAGATTGAGACAAATATCAATACAATTAGTTATGATTGAAACAGAATATTTAGGTATTTGGATTAGTTAGTCAAAAATATGAATTACTTTCCAAATTTGTTCCAGGAAATAATTTGTATGCTATGAACCTAGTTTTAATGTTTGAAGGATTGTGTCATATTAAATAAATTATATATTTTAAATTTTTCATTATTTTCATACTTAATTACTAGATATATTTTTTATATTAGCTGCTATTAAATTCTTTGATAAATTATAAACCTAACATTTTTAGTGACATTATTGTTTATTTTAATGAATTTGTTTGACACAAAGAATTCAAGGAATTTTATCCTTAAGCCAAAAAAAAAAAGTGACTTTTTATGGATAAAGGCCTGGGTTTAAAATATTCTACCAAGTGGTTTTAAAACTAAACAAAGGTTTTGAAAAAGAGTGGTGAGATTAATGTCAATAGTAATTACTACTTAAAATATTCACTTCAACAATAATATTTTTGAAAAAATCATTGTAAGGTTTCGTGTAAATAATCTAACTATTCAAAAGTTTTACTAAATGTATAAAAAATTGTGAAGTCTACTAGAGGGCTTATTTGTAAATAAGTTTTTTATTTAATTTACTGAAGTGCCTATAATTAAAAAAAAAGAAAGAAAGTCACTTAAAAACATTATTTCTTCTTCTTTTTTTCTTTCCCTTTTTTTCTTTGAATCCTTCTTCTCGCTTTTTTCATTCTCAATATAGACGAAATCAAGACACACAATTTCTTTTTTTCACAATTTTTGCACAATCTTCTACCCTTACTGCCACCACCACTTGTATCGTCCTCATCCTTATCCTTCACCATAATGCATCTAGCCACTATCATGCGCCAACACCCATCTTAAAATATGCCGTCGTCATTGTCGTTGTCGATGTCTGCATCGACAACGGCATGTGTAGGGTTGTCCTTGACTTGGGTTGGTACTTGTTCAAGGTTTGTGTAGAGGGTAATGCTAGGGGCTTCATTGGTCTATGTCAAATCTTGCTATGTTTGGTTTTCAACAAGTTGATACCTGCTTGTGAATCCTTCAAGAAGAAGAAAGAAGATGCGAAGAAAGAGGGAGTGAGGGAGAAATGAAAAGAGAGAGAAGTGTTTAAGAGTTTTTTATTTTTTATCTTCAATCATGGACATTTTAATCAATTGACAAAAAAAATTATTTATACTCAAGTCCCATAAGACCTTACAAATTATTTGTGTATTTGAGGGGACTTTTGAAAAATTAAAATTCTTGCATGGAACTTCATAGTAACTTTCTCTATATTTTAAATTGATTATGATTGGAAACACAACCTCCTTATGACAGCGAACTTGATAATAAAACGGATAAACCATTGTTTTTAAATTCAACCATTCTTAATAATTACTTGATCATGATTGGAATTTGGAAGTTCATAGATTCCTAACATCGTAAATTTTTTCCTTACATCCTGTTGATACAGATTTTCAAATTCATTATCACTTGTTTTGAATATAACAACAAAATTACGAAATAAATAGCATGTTCATATGGTAGTTAATTTGCAATTTAGTATTAGAAGATATTTTAATATATAATTAATGAATTAGCAGAGATTAGAAGATAGGTGTTGAAAATTCAAAAAGAATGGTAAGGTGTTTGATTTCGTTGGAAAAATGGAATCATTATTATGAGACAATTCAATTTCAGATTCGTTTTCTCAAAACGTTGAACACATTTTTTTTTTAATAAAGGTTTTCATTATTTCCCAATCAATGCATTGAAAGTAAATCACTTATGGTTTGCACATTCAAATGAATCTTCACGCCATACCAAAATCCTCAAAAGCACATCTCTTAATTCCACATAATAATTCATCAAGGCATTCTCCATTCTTAAGATTATCACCTTATAATTGAAAGTTTGATCTCTCTTGATAACTTTATAGTTTATTGGGAAAATATAACCAAGGAAAAAATTATGTCACGTGATATTGATCATTTCCATGAATATTATAAAAAAAATTTACTCCCATTGCTTTTACTTAAAAGTCATTCCAAACATATTTCGTTAGAAACAAGTAAATTTTTAATTTTATTTCTATTAAATTACATACACTTCATCCAGACTATAATATAGCGCATTTTTAAAAAACCTCGCTTAGCGTAAAATATAGGTCATTTGATAGGTTTTATTTATTTATTACAATTACACCCTTATTTCATTATATTCCACTCCAGTAATTAATGAAGATGTTTTAAATGAGTTAAATATTATATTTATTTCATTCAAAGGTAAGATTGGAAATATATAAAAAAATTTAGACAATTAAGATCTTAACAAATTGTTTTAAAAATCATAAGTCTGTTAACAATGACTTATATTATGATTCATATGAGGGTGAAAAGAAAAAATTGTAATAAAAAATTAATGTGGCTTATAAATATTATAAAAAAAAAAATCTCTCCCTACCTATAAATCATACCCGGGGAGTATATATAAAGTTTTTTTAATAAAAGCATATTATAGACGAATTATTCAGTGTTAAGTGTATTTACTAGATATACATTTTATGGCCAGGGTCGTTTCAACATTTAAAACAATTAAAATATATGATTTTTGATTTGGTTGAATACTTGAATGGTTTGCATGTATAATGAAAGTTTAGTTTAATTGGTTAAGTACCGAAAATGAGGTTGTAAAATTTGCCTACCACAATTGAAAAACGAAACAAAAAAAGAAGTACAATATAATTATTAATTATATGTGCATGCATGTTGACGTTGAGGTCGTATTATATTGTTTATTAGCTAATTAATAAACAAATTATTGGTAAGTAATCATTAAATTAAAATTGTGTGGGTCACATGGGTTTGCCATTCTTTCTTAATCGATTACGGTTAATGAATGTACATGTTTCTTGTCATCAATCATAATTGTCTTCAATATCAAGGCTATCTTTTAACCCCTCCAGACAAAACTCAGCATATGCTATGTATTGTTTTTCCTCTTTTGACATCATTTAATTTTGTAATTCTATTTCGACTAATGTAGATCGAGTCAAATTAGATCACATGAATATGAAATTTCTTTCTTAACATTTTTTTCTATGTACAAAATTTAAACCCAAGACCTTATTTAAAGAAAACCAGTGCCAATCCACTTGAACTTACTGGTGTGGGCTGTGCACAATATTTTGTGAAAAAGAAAACAAAAATTTTCATATTTCACAAAATTTATATTTTTTATTTTTAAATCAAACAAGAAAAAGAACCAGGTCATAGAAAACAATAGAAAAGAACATGATAAAAATGAAGCTTGTGGTGGTATACTTTAGAATGTTTCTTTTTGAAAGAAGTCAGTTAATTAAATTAGAAATTGTGACAAAATGTCTAGCTAGCAAATCTCTTGAATTTATTTTATGTGTATATATATATATATATATATGAATAGAAAGACTTTAAAGCTATTTAATTAATATCTTCTTTAATAGAAATGCGTGCTCACCACTCAAAGTATGAGTAACATTGGAGAAATTAATAGGATTTTATTTTGCAAAAGTCAGCTCCTTTCAGTTTTTGTCATTTATTTATTATTTGAAAATGATAAACATATTCTAAGGCTTGCTTTGCAGAGTTTTATCTATTTCCCATCTTTTACTGAAAGAGTACAACTGTGTACCCATGAAATCAAGTAAGCTGTGCAATATTCACATGCCTATTTTTAGAGCCTTTAAATGTGAGCTTATAAACAAGTATTTTCAAAGCTTTTAAATGTGACATTACTCTCCTTCAAAGTAATGAAATTATATCTTTTCACAAATCTATTGCCTAAACTTTGAACTTTGAAGTTCTACTCTTTTCCAATAAAAAAAAAAAACAATGATGAACTCAAGTAGTAGTGTCAAGTGGCAACATTGTTGAAGCCATATACAAAGCCTGAGTAAAAAAGTTTGTGTTCAAAGAGACAAGGTTTAATTAAAATTTAGCAAATAAGAAGAGACAATTTAAAAATTAATGAACAAGGTAAAGCTAAGGTCAAATTAAATTAGAATACTTCTTTTGGCCCTAAGTAACTTCTTTCATTGGAACTAAGAAAAATTTTAAAAATAAAAAACTGTATCTAAAAATTCACTAACCAAAATAATGTATTCTCAAAGTTAGATTTTCTCCCCTACAAAGGAGAGAAAAGAAGAAATCAGTATAAATCTGGATTGTTAAATTAAATTTGAATATTTTTAAAAAGACAAATTTAATTTAAACAGTTCAGACTTATAGTTAAGAGACAATGGAGAAAGAAAGTAGAGAAAAGAAATTCACCTCCTAATTTTTCATACCCACATTTAAAGAGAACAAAAGAAAAAATTTATTATAAACATTTAATAACATGATTTATATAAAAAAATTAAAAAAAATTTATCTTATAAATAAAACCTGAGGGTGTATAGTGTAAAATAGAAAGTAGAAAAAAGGAGGAGGAGGAGAAAAAGGAAACGACAGAATTGCAAAAGCTAGCTGTGACAAGTGTAGAGAGAGGGGGCCATTTGAATGAAAGCATTCAATGTAAGAGGGAAAGCACGGAGTCACGGAGATGGTTCCATCTCAACCATTTACATCCCCCACCAAAAAGTGACCCTTATTTTATATGTCAAACTTGTGGCCACAGAGGAAGGGGAAAAAGAAGTTGAATGCATCAATACAGGGAAGCATGCATGCACGTCTTTAAGCATTGGCAAAGCTGTGGTTCACACAACAGATTCACACATAGCCAACAGAAGGACAGGCCTTAAAAATGAAAAGGAAAAGAAGACGACATAATCCAATAATTCATCAAGTCTCCTTGGATTCTGGTCTCAATTTAGCATGATGAATGAGTTTTATGTACAAATAAGATTACAAAGGGCAGCCTCTCTCTCTCTCTCTCTCTTTTCTAGATTCCATACTTGCTAGTTAAGATAATTACTAGTAGTGATAATTACCATTGTAGAACATGGCATATAGAGTGGTTTTAATCATGAATGAGACATGTGAATACAAGTAGGTCGCAGAACTTAGTCAAGTAAGGTGACCTTCCAACGAGGAAGCTTCCAGTTTATCTCCTCCTCAACAAAACCATCACTCCAGGTCCTTCTCTTTTTGGTGTTGAAAAGGTCAAATTGGGTGTGCAAAATAGGATGAATTTCAGTTAGGTTGAGCATATTCGAGAACAGAAATTTTAACCAAATAAGTTCGATCAAAATCAATCGGTTTGATGGATATAATGAGATTTGATTGAATTCATTTTCTAGTAAGAATTTTTTGCCACATTATTGGATGAATTCACTTATTCAAGATAACCAAACCAAATGAATCTAATCCGTTGCTGACTCTTAACTACCAACTCAGTAGCTTCATTATTAGATAATACAAAAGAAGAAGAATCATTGGTGTGAAGCAGAACAAAGCAATAAGCGTAAAAGCCAACCTGTCTATGCCAAAGCAGGCAAACTCCCAACGATCTTATCCCAAATTCTACAGGTGGGAGCCAGTCAGTTGAGAATTAAGTTAAAACCACTTCTACCAGAGATTTTTGTTTACCAAAAAAAAAAAAAAGAAAGGAAAGAAAGAAAGAAAGAAAGAAAAAAAGAAGAAGAACACTTAAAGAAACTTCAAGCTTAAGTTTTGTCCTTTTTGAAGCTCACATATCATACAGATATTGGAATCATTTTTTCCCGGATTTCACAACATTTTCCTATGTAAGGCATCAAAATCTTGCTGAGAAAGCTCTTACTATTACAAATATGTACATACTTTAAAGTGTGAGCAGGACAAGTTGTTAAATTCTGGCCTCACTGCTTCCTGCCTGAGACAGTTTTCTTTACAGCTCCGACTGAAACCAAGAACTGGTCTAGAGATGATAATGTCCTCATGTCATCGGGAGGAAAATAGCTTGCAGCTTTTCCCATGATTGATGAAAATACAAGAGAGAGTGAAAGCTGACTAACATATCGCTCGCCCAGAAGCTCATCCAGAAATGCGAATGCTGCCCGGAAATCAGAACTACTCGCATTTATTGGAGCAGCAAAATGAGCAGGGATTATTCTCTTGAATCTCCAATCCCGAGAAATGCTATAAACCCATTCTCTCACCTGGATGGTAAATTCATATTTCATAAGAAGACCAACAAGATGAGATTCAAGAAAATGATTACTATCACTCTAGTTTCACCGACACATGCAACCTTCCAGTTATTTATTATCTGGATTTGTGAACATCTCAGTAGCAATGTCAAAACAGCCCACATGCCTGTAAGCCAGCTTGTTTAATCAGTCCATTGGTGGGCATCTTTTAGGCCCATTTATCTGGTCCAGTCAGCTAATGCGTTAACTTGTTTAGGTTTAACAGTTGGATGATCCCAGAGCTTCCCTTGAAGGATACTTCTCTCTCTCTCTCTCTCTCTCTCTCTCTCTGTTTCTTCTGGATGGAGTTCCTTCTCTCTCTCTCTCTCTCTCTCTCTCTCTCTCTCTCTCTGTGTTTCCTTTAGGATGGGGTCTAAACATTTTGCGCATACACAACCACGACCAGTGTAAATATAAGAGTAAAGCAATAATACAAATAAGAATAGCTGCTCCATGATTAAATAACAATCAGCATCTCAGTCAAAATCTCAGAACATAACAGAAATTATGCAAAAGAAAAAGGATTACCTTTTCAGGAACTTTACTGAAGACCAGTGTCTTCACAATAGGTGAAACAATCAACTTCTGTGACATCTGTTCAAAGCTAGCATTTGGTTCCAAGAGATTTGATGGGCCAAGAAACAAGATTTGTAGAACCATCCTTTCCCATCCTACACAACATTGTATAGAACAATCAGGCTAAATTTGACCACAAATGAAAAGCAATATGATTTGTGACTAAACTTCAGAAATAGAAAATAAACCTTTTTGGCGGTTCCTTTTGTTGTCAACAACTGGTTCGTCAGGAACTTCCTTTCCTTTACTAAGAATTTTTACTGCCAAACCATTTTTTGCAGATGCTAACAGTGATTCTTTGCTGATACACTCTGGTGGCTGTCTGGGGACAAAAATAACAGCATCTGTCACCAATAGTGTTCTTGAACGCTTATGGTAGAAAGCTACCTCCACATATGGCCCAATCCCTGAGACAATTTACACGCAAATGAGATCTTACCATGTAGAATCCTGAAGATGAAGTATAATGCTATACTGTAATTTTTTTCCTTTCGGTGACAGGATATGCTGCAATTATTACCAACTTCTGGGGAGCTTAGAATTTTGTGCTCAATTTCATCAGCCCAGGGGGTAGATGAATCATCATCTTTCAATGTTTTAGATCGGAAAATCCCAAAAAATTCTAGTGGTAAGTTCAATGGCCAACTCCATTGCCTTGGTGCCACCCATACTTGAGCACGTGGAAACTTTCTAGAAAATGGACCAACGAATATTTTATGCTCATAAGCAAAAGTAGGAAGAACAATATATTCCACTGGAGCTCCCAACTCTTTGACAAGCTGCCAGAAATAAGGCATTCAAATGTTATAAGTTAGTCAATTTTTGTCAACAAGGTCATTCAGATTACAGATCTCTCCATGCAATAAAAGTTCTTAATCAGCTCATTAAAGGTCATTCCAATTACACTTATTCTACCATGTGTTTTGCACTCTGAAAAAGATCAGCAATAAGTTAAATATAAATATAAGAGAGAATAAGGACCAATGCCTGAAGCCCATCATACCAAGTTAGTTCCAATTCCCCAAAAAAAAAAAGTACAAAACAATACTCCAAAGTCCACAAAAAGGTGGACTTCAATATATAGGGGGGCATTTTCCACTTTACAGCAAAATGACGAGAAGACTTTGGCATGTACTTGCATTAATGCTGCCACAAAAGCTATTATACGTTCTCATATCCAAAGTAAGGAGACTTGGTGAAGAAAATTAAACCTTCATGCATTCATCAGTTGGAGCAATGGGTGCATGTACCCATAGGCCTCCAGATTTGAGTTTGATAACAGTCATCCTAATGTTTGTTGAAACACTGCTGAAACCTAAGGCTTGCTCTTGCTCAAACAGCCATATACATCCCTTCACGGCCTAAAACAAGATAGAATAAAAGGAAGTATAAGTAGTTTTAAAAAAAGAATTTCTAGCTAATAAATTTACAGCAAAATGTTGTGTGAATGAACTAATATTATTATTGGCATTACTATGCACATACAATGCCAGACATAACAAATGTCATCGTCCTGAAATCAAGATGTCATTAAAATATGCCCTCCGTTCATTTCAAATGGATTCCGGACGAATACATGCATTTCTAGTTCAATATTCAGAACCCGGAAATTTAAAATAAAAAAACAGAGTTGTTATTTCTTTCTAGTCAAGGAGAACATAAGATTGAAGAGTGAGCTCCAGTAAAGTTGGGTTTCCATAGATTGCCTGAAAAGTGCTAGATAAAAATCACTTAGGTTTCATTCATTCACTGAATAGTCGTTGATATAAAATGTTAAAAAAGCTATTATGAAGATTACTTCCCCCATAAAATGATCTTCTAAGATGTAAGCTGCACTTCAACGAGTAAGGTGCAGAATGAATAAGAATAATCATGTGTACATAAATAATCTTATTCAACATACAAAAATCCCAGATAATAAATATGAAGAGATCATAAATTCACCAGTACAATTTAGAATAGGTTACCTCCGTCCTGATAGTACGCCTATTGAGGAAAGGACCCAAAGGGAAAGGAAACCCAGTGAAATTGAAGTAAAATCTGCCACTTGGATTGCCGCTATCTTGTGTTGTGACGGTGGTGCTGGTACCGGCTGAAGCCACAACCAAATTTGTGGAATTTCTTCGTTGTTGTGTTGGTTTTAGATGTAAACAAAGGCCCTTCAAAGAACCACCAAGAAAATTCGAACTTGATTCGTTGAAATAGATGGGGTTCTGTAAAATTGAAGATTTTGGCGAAGCAATGGCAATAGCTGCCATTACTAGAGGCCTACAATTTCGTCGCCAGAAACAATGGCGTACTGCGCTACTGTGCAGAGACGAAGGACCCTGATGGGAGCCATTACAGGTTATACTTGTGACACGTGGACCTCATTTTGGACTTGGATTGTCCTACATGGATCTTCTGGCAGCCTTAGATTAATTGTGGAAGCTGCTAAGTTAAAAAATAATTTGAAGATAGGGAGAAAAAAACGCAGAAGACGCCAAAGAGTAGAGAATGAGGGAAATTTCTAGAACAACGCCTCCCAAAAGGTGAGAAGTCTCTTCATTTTACTTTACGTTCTTTCGATAGAAACTAAAATCTATGGATTAACTTTCAGCCAAAAATAAAATTATGGATTAACTCTCATGAAAAAAATCTATGGATTAATTAAGAAAATAAATGGGATATAAACGAGCCTATGCCTCAGGCTCATTCCCTTCTTGCCATATTCTAGTGACTCAAATTTAGTGGTCAAGGGGAAAGAAGTTCTGAATTTCGCTTAAAGTAATAAAATTAAGTTAAGCTTAGCTTGCAGTCGCATAAGATCGTATCTATAATAAATATTTTATAAACTTAAATAATTAAATGATTTTTTTCTGATATATTTTAAAAAATTATTTATATTATTTATATATAAACTCATTTATATGATTCAAAATAAAATGAACTTTTATCCTAGTCATTTCTGACAAAACAAAAAAACCACTTATAAAGTTTTATAACTCCCAAAATTTGTTTCCAGTTAATCAATTTGGACATGTCACTAACAATATGGTTGAAAGAAACTTGCCAAAAAAAAAAAGTGTTAAAATTCTTGCTCCATTTCCCACCAAAAAATAATTAAAAAGGTTGAGCTGTGGATCGGTGGGTGAAATTGAGAAAGATATTCCATTTAAACCTGATCAAGCAACGGTTCCAGTATCCAAGCGGACAGCTCAATCAATCGTAATACAAATGCAATTTACAAAATTACAACACATCACAACGGCAATACATGCTCATTCGTGTCCATGGAATAACATACGAGGTTCTAAAATCATTCCAAGGGATAACTATATCAAGATTCCCACTCCATCAAGTGAACCTTCTGCAAACAGGAAAAGGTTACAACATTATTCATTACAGAATTCCCCCCAAGACCTTGGTTGAAAAGAACTTCATCAACACTAGACGCTGACATTACAATCTTCATCCACCATCCAAGCAAAGAAAAAGCTAAAATCAAAACTCAAAAATCTCGAATAGAACCAGGGCTGTACAAGGGCAGACAAATGATGAATGAAGCCGTAAAAGTGGAAGTCGGCTAATTACAATGCAGAAGCAGCTGGATAGGACCACTTAAGTGAAGCACATACACAGTACACTGTCTCTTGATCTCAGTTGGTAATTTCCCTGACAAGCCAATCCAGACTAGGATACGCGAAGTACAAAATGAGAAATGATGGGAAAGCAAACAGAATGGTGACAAGCATGTACAAAGCCAAAACGGCTGCACTTGCTGGGATTGCATACGAGATAATGAGAAGAAATATGAGGACATGTGGGAACTTAGCTGTCAAGTGGACAACAAAAATCAGTGACTTCAGAACAGAACCATGCAGTCTTTCCATACTGAGGTGATTATCAGCGTAATCATTATATTGATTGGAAACCGATGGCTCTGGATGGGATTGAGGAACACGTTGTCCCCTTTGTATGTTGCCATGGCGTGCTTGACTTCCCATTGTTAGATTGTCCTTGATTGGCCAGAGCGGTTGCTGATGAAGATGACGATCCCTAGAAAGAGTTGATCGGTTCTTCACTCTATCACCATTTATGCTCTCAACCATCCATAGAAGAAAGTAGTTCTTGCGAGGGAATTTGACATTTCCATTGTAAACCAAACGGAAAGATAGAAGATTGCACCAGGGACAAGAGATGAAAAGTGGAAGCTGAATAGGCAACGTTGGAACTTTGACAACAGCCCATTGCAGCCCCAGGATGCAACTTTTACAAAGGGTATGGCCACACCATAAGACATAAGGCACATTTTCAACCATGTTGAAAGATTCCCAACATATCGGGCACTCAAGTCCTTCCCCTCTGCCCACAACAGAAGACATCTCATCGTCAGAGCATTCAGAAGCTGTGTGAGTTGGCTTTACACTTGCACAACCATTCTTCTGCCTCCCACTTCCAGCAAAGCAACTTGATGCAAAATTCCACATTCTGCATCACATTGACATAACCAGGCAAAAGAGCATCATCTGGTCCTGAATGTGATTATCATTTGATCCAAAGCTTCAAGTCTGCAGCATTTTCATTAAGGACAGAAGCATAGTAAGGTCAAACCAGAAACCAAAAAGGGTCAGAAGCTTCAGATGATAATAAACATTTATCCCATGAGGTCACATCGTATGCAATCATGTCAATCGCAAGCATGCATTTGATACCCTTTCTTTAAGAAAATACTTGTTATCTTCAGACGAAGGGATCATGACATATTGATTTGTCAAACTATATTACATCCGCTGAATAAAATAACTACATCAGAATCAGCACAAACAAACTACCGAGAATAGTCTGCTTGTGAGACTCTGGTAGTATCAAAACAGTTTGATTAATCTTTTCTACGGGTTTAAATAGATAAGATCAGTTGGAATGCCATAAACTTGTCCAACAATTTAAAGGTAGAAAAGTGCACCGATGGATCTGGATTTGATGCACTTCTTCAGAAAAATGAACCATGTGTACATATCTTATTTTATTATTAATGAACACGCCGTATGTATATGTTTTCACATTTCTACATCTCCTTTTTATAAATAAAAAAGGAAAAGAAATACGCACGGCACCCTTCTCTAAAGATGTACACCAGATCCATTTCCCTATGCCAACCACACATTAAAAATATTAATGCCAGAAAGCCCTATTGCATTCTCAGATTCTGTTCTTATTATATCATTAAGGCAATCATTTTGGAGTCAGGGAGTAAGAGAAATTTATCTAACTTTACATCATAACGTGCTTCATGAGTAGCCACAAGAATATATTCTGACTAAACTATCGGAACCGGAGAGATATAGTGGCATCTCAGTAAACCCACAACATGATATAGAGAGATGCTGGTTTATACTTACACACATATCAGTCACCAACAACACGATATCTGATGAAAGATTTGACTAAAAAAGTACAGAAATATCAAATGACCTGGGACAAGATGAATGTTTGATGTTTACTGGTACAAGGTCCAACCATTCGCCAGATTTTTTCAAACTTAGTTTCTTCAACAAACCTAACGTCTAAGAATTATACCATCTGACACGATTCGAATTGAAATATGCATATACAAGATTTGAAGGAGCACAAAATGATAGATAATCCAATAGAAATCCGGGGAGGGGGTGGAATTCAGTCTATTTGTCGGCAGAATCAAAACTCGATCCTGAGAATTAAATAAGGAAAGTTGCGGAAGTAAGGATAAATGATGGGAAGAAGATCATTCATACCAATTGCTGATGCGGAAGGTTTAACTCTGAGAGAGTCCAATAGAGAGTTGATCAAACCTCTCTAGCCTTTCCCTCTCTCAGACTCGGTCTCTAAGCAAGAACACCTGCAGCTATCGTTGTATGCATCAATTCAAGTTTCTTGTGTCCCCTGTTTCGCTCTATACAGAGATTGGTGGCCTACTATTATTATTGCCGCTATATTATTATTATTATTATTATTATTATTATTATATTTATTCTATTTTTTAGCCAATTTTTGTTTGGGCTTGATGTTTGCGTTTTGCCCTAAGGACACGCGTCTCTTCACTTAAGTTCTCTCCTTTTCTCTTTATTTTTTAATTATGATTATTCATTAAATTTATAATTAAAATAAGTTTATTTAATAAAATAAAATCAATAATCATGATTAAAAATAATTAAAAAATGGAGAGAAAAAAAAAATGGAGAGACTTCCTCTTTCTCCCACGACTCCATTCTAGATTGCAATTTTATTTTGGTATGATGATTTTTATGCACCCTCCAGACACATTATTTAAAGTTAAGTATCTTAAATTTTTTAAATTGCCATAGTCCTTTATTAAAATTAAAGTTTGTCTTAGTTAAGTTCTGGAAAAATGACAAATAAATATGATCCAAACAGGCAAGCGGTCAAAAGATCACAAATGGGGTAATTATTTTAAAGTTCCTAAAAATTTATTTGACATAGAATTTTTTTTTTTTTACAAAATGAAAAGGTAAATGATAATTTTCGAGAAACAAGTTTCAGTCTATAGAAGTTTATTGACATGAGAAAAAGCTTGAGTATATTCTTTATAGGAGAATGACATTTAAAGTCAATGATTCTAAAGCCATAATCTTTAATTGAAATTAAAAATTTTCTCAAATTAATTTTTGAGAAAATGACAAATAAATATTCCTCGGATAGGAAAATGGTGCAAAGGGATTGCAAAATGGGTTGATTTTTTTAATCTAGAAACCTATCAAACATTAATTTTTTTCAATAAATTACAATAATGCTCTTAAAGATAAATAACAATTTCATAAAAGCAAATGAATACTTTCATTAAGCAGATGACTAAAATAATGTAAAAAATAACTACTTCAATTTCTCAACAAATGAAATAATAATTTCCTGCACGATTTTAGTCACTCACTTAATAAAACTAGTCATTTGCTATTCTGAAATTATGATTTACTTTCATAATTCAACACTTATGAAATAAGATTGAAAAATAAAAGTAGTCATTGTCTTTATTATTTTAATTACTCGCTTAATAAAAGTATTCATTTGCTATTGTCATTTACCTTTGGGACTTTATGATCGCTGATTTCGTGAAAAATAATTTAATGTCAGAAAAGTGTTTAGACACTTCAAAATAATTACACTATTTTATGATCCTCGTTTTTCATTTGTCTACTTATGCGAGATTTATTTGATATTCTCCTTTAATTTTTTTAGTACGCCTATTCCATATATTTTATGCTCATTTTACATATTTTCTATACTCATCTATGGCATTTTCAGTCCTCAATTTATTTGAAGAAATATGATAGGGTCTTGAGACAGACAAATTGTATGAAATGTGTGAACTATGAAATGTGGGTGTGTATTGGTGGCAAAAGTCAGCAGCAGCGTGGAGCCACCACACAATTGTCAGGTGACTGAGAGAGTGCTGCACCTAAATACCGCCCCTGATGACGACGTCGTGTCGGCAACACTTTTTTTTCCATATTGTCTAACATACATTTCTTTTCCATTTTTATTTTAATTGAAATTGGAACTAGCTAGGCCCATTAGCTTCACCAGGATATTGGGCTATCAATGAAGCCCAGCAAGAACAAAGCGGGCCTTGTAGGAGAGGGAAAGAAAAGGAGAGATGATGGCATTTATGTCCCGACACCTTTTTTTAAAAAAAAATGAAATTGTAAATATTTATTTTATTTTAATTTAAAAATAAAAAGTATTTATTTTGTTTTATTTTATAAATCTCATCATATTTTTACCATTTTATTAGATGTTAGAAATGTTATTAAATGTTGAAGTATTTTATTTTTAAAGTATGTATATTTAATAATAAGAATAATAAAAACTTATTTAATTTTTAGATAGAGTTAATAAAATTTAAAATTAACCTTGACTATGATAAAAATGCTAAAAATAACTTTTAAATAAAATAATAGTGAGTATCAATTTAGACAGTTATAAACAAGAATCCTCATTTACAAGTTATATTTTTTTAATTTAATGTAATATTTTAGAATTTAACTGTTAATGTAATTCAATGTTTTGACTTTTGAGACCTAATTAATTATATTTTTCTAAAGAGAAGCCATCTCACGGGGTTACTTTATCCGCTTGCGTGACCGTGTTCAATGAGCAAGTTAAAATTATCTCTGTAGCAACGCAACGTAATGCTCTTGAACGTAACACTGATGAGAACATAATTCTATCAATTTGGAATCATCTTCCTGGAAGCAACTGTGTGGCCAGGAAGAAGAAAGTCACACATGCGTAAAAAAAGGTAGAATGAAAAGAGTAATTAAAGGTTCCAGTCATCATTTTGGGTTGCCAACAAATATTCCAAATCATGTTTAAAGGCGAGAAAGGGGCCGAGCCAACATGGATGAATGAATGAAAAAGAGAAGCAAATAATTGACAATGGAATGAGTGAAAGAGATCGTTTGATGGGGATGTATATAGAATAATAATGATAATGATAATGGTGTAACTAAGAAGGAAGCTCCAAGATGTTGGGTTGTTTTTCAATCAATTTTAAAGGCAATGTAGGCCTCAACCCTACTTTCTATCCTCTCCATCTTTTGTCTTTTACCCTAACTTCCAAATTCTATGGGGTTAACCTGCCCTGAGATTAATCACATCCTACCCCAAAAGAGCGAAGCATTAGTCATATCCTAATATCAACCATTCACGTACGTACTCTCAACCAATAATTCTGAGTTTGATTCTTAGATATGTGTAACCGTGTTAAGTTTTATTTCTCTCATGCTCCTACTTGCTTGAGTTTAACTTGGATGTGGCTAGAGTTTAATATGTGACTTCTTAATGGTAAATGGTTTGGTACCAAAAATTATTAATCACATTCTAATTCTCTCATAAATTATTAATCAAATCATATGACTACGGTTCATTATATTCAACATGCATTGTAAAAGAGATAATTACTTTCAAATCCAACGAAGAGTGTATAAATTCAAAGTCCCGACTCCCACAAATTTCATAAATATCTCACAACTCAAGTCCCTCATGTGTAAATAAGTTCTTAATTATATTCAATTACCAAAGTAATAACATGAATTATTCTTGTAAAAAAGCAACTTCATTCTTTAAAAAAAAAAAACAACAACAACAACTTCGATTTATACATAGAAATAACAACTTTGCTTAATGTAAATGATAACTTGACTTGAGGTGGTCAATAAATAACGATTTAAGTATCTATGAAAAACAATTAAATTACATATAAGTAACACTTTAAAAAAAGCTTAATTTTCTATAAATGATAATTTGGATTTATGAAAATAACAAATTACTTTTATATAGATGACAACTGCAACATTAACTACAGAAATAACCAATCCCAACTCAATTATAACGTCCACCAATAGTGTAAAGTCATCATTACTAATTCAATACTCAACAAATACACCACTGATAATCATTTAAGTTAACCTCAAAAGGATTACCCAATCCTAATTAACCATTTAAAAGTATTTTAAAATCCAAAGGTTTTTCTTTTAATAATTGGGATCATAAACTTTAAACTTTATAAAACAAATCAAATATGACTTTAACAAGTCAAAAACAAGATATGAATAAGTATGGAAGTATATAATACCATTTGATAATAAGAAAGTTTCAAAACTAGTTAAAAAACATCAAGTAATAAAGAAAACAAAGTAATGCATTATAACATGTGCGCATGTGCCACGGTTTGTTCCTCTCTATACCTCGTCTTATTTCTCTATTCGATGTTTGATTAAGGTAATCTAGCTATTTACAAAAAACTCTTTTCAAAATCTAACTAATAGCATAGGTTCTACTTTCAAATAATTTCACATATAAAAGTTTGGACACCTAAACATATTTTTTACACTTCTCACATCACAAGAAAATCACTTTTCACGCTTGTCTACACTTTTAGACACAAAACCCAACACTTATGCTAAAAACTGCCACTAATACCTAAATCAAACTCTATAAACCTAGAATAACCTATGTAATACACCACATGCACATAATAACAACAATATCTCATTGTTAACTCTCTACCCTTTAGTAACAAAATAGAAAGGAGATCTAGCATTGCATTAAAATCATAATATTATATTTATGTACCATTTACACATATATCTGTACTTACACTAGTATTTTAACTTTATAACAATTCTCATGCATATACAACAACCCAAGACCCAAAATATACAAATTCAACATTCAAATAACTTAGTACAAATATAACAAAAGAATACAACCTTATTTAGCAAGTATCATCATAAATTACATATAAATTTAAATAGACAAGCTATATAATAGGAATGTCAAATTCTCAAACCTTTATAGCTTTCCCTTTTTCCACACCCAAGTTAGAGCCTGTGAAGTTTTAAGAAAGAGAGATGAGTACAATCACTCAATAACTAAAGTACATTTATCCTCTACAATTGCATATCAATAGATGTTCAAAATCATCATACGTTTTACAATCATATCATAATGTTCATTGCTATAATACTAACAACCCAAGTAGTAATGACAATTCAAAATTTACTACTCATTACAAATTTAACAACTATATGAAACATCGGATAACATGCATGATCAATTGCTTTTTAAATCCTTCTTATACCTTCCAATTGAAACTATGGGTTACAAATCAAATAGGGCTTTGTCCATGTAAATGAACTGCACAAGCTTACCAATTGTGAGGAGTGATCTGACCAAAGATCATCACACTCATTCTCGAACCATGGCTTCCCCCATTATCAAATTCCTAGGATGTTGTAAACCTTAAGCCTATCTCTTCAACAATTAAGTAAAGATAATTAGGTTCGAGTTCCTCAAAAAATAATGGAATAATTCCTCGACAAAACAATGGGACAAAGCTATTCCTCAATTCTAATGATTAACAGCCATTACCATGTG